TTTTTTTTTTTTTTTTTTGCTTCGGTTTTCAATATGGCATACGCGTGTCTCTTTGTAGTCGGAGATGAAAATCGTGTTTACGTATATAAATCTATGCGTGTACGTACGTGTGTTTCTTTCAAGATCGGAAGATGTGACGTCCTTGCGTACACGCAGCAAATTTAAACGTCTTTCTTTGTTTTTTCTTTTTTTGTCCATGGCAAATAGAATCTCTCTCGACTAGCAGAAGAAGCTTTTTCTCTCCTTAAGATACAAAATGTTTCTTAGTTTCCTTAAGGTGGAAGAAGGGAATGATCGTGAGGATACGTTGTGCTCAATTTATTGATAAAATGCGATCGATAAGTGAATCTCTTCTTTCACAAATATCGTTCGTTTCGCTCTCACGGAAGATCGACCAATCGGTTGTGGAGAACGTCGTCACTTAAGGTGGCTTAAAATGGCACGCCTAGTTTTTTATCCATTAATCGTAAGTGCATGGCAATCGATACAACCGCGTTCGACGAAGACACATTCGCCTGGCGGCTTCGGCTTAACTCTTATCATGAGCCTAATGAAATATTAATGAGCGTTTTATTAATAAAACAGATTCTCTGATTTTAAATTAGGATTCACACTACTGGTTTTTGGGAGTTTTCGTAAGTGAATCAATAATTTAAATAATTCACACGTTCGACGAATAAATACAATAAAAATCTCGAGATTAAGATTGGAACTATCATATGGAATTTTAAGTCTAATTATTCACGGAGATATCGATTTTATGTTAGTAACTCAGAAATAAATAATTGTCATATATATTAGAGAAGTATCTTATTAGGAAAACATTGCGACTATATTTGTGCCATATGACGTTCAATGAAGAACTATATATGTATATTAGAAAAAACAGGAGAAAGATTGAACTGCAAATCGATCTGATGTGACCAAATACCGATATGTAAGATTAGGAGATAAATTGTACGATTAACGTGATTTAACATACAAACATTTGAATACGTACCTAATTTAAATTAATCGATTTAATATGTATTCAATTTCCTCTAAATTTTCTTTTAATTAATGGTTAACGTTGTTTGCCTTCGCCAAAATGCAAACACGTTATAGTCATTTATTATAAACAATCCATTTAACTTACTGGATTATCTATTTAATTATCCTACGACATATCTAGGTATATTAATGACTTTTAAAAAATTAAGAACCTTAAGTTATTTTTAGCGTCTTTACCTATCACTTTCCCCGAATAGTCATCGCCTATTTCCTAATTTTTTATTTTTCTTACTGTTATTATAATTCTATTACTCTCAACCTAGCGAATAAAATAAGTCACAGAATTTCTAAGACAGAAATAAACCTTAAAAAAACAAGGACAATCTCATATTTTATAGAGTAGTTTTCCTCTAGCGATCGTAATGGGCATTGCAATTCCATAGAACCGGACTCGAGAAATGGGAAATACGACAATGGATCAAAGTCCCTTGTGCGGTCATACTGTTAAAAACGTTTCTGCAAATCTGGAATACGATCATTAAATAGAAAACAAGAAGAAAGTGGATGAAAAACAAAGAAGGGAGAAAAAAACTAAGGGGAGAACAGCAGAGGAAACGCTGATAAACGAGGTCGTGGTTCAAGGGATTGGCGTCGAAGAGAAATCACGGTGGCGCAACGATCCTTCTTCCTTTCCCTCCTTCCACCGAGCCAGAATGATTAACGACATACCAGCAGCGTTTATCGCCCACGAATTTTCGCGCTCTCAGTCCTGTACAGGGAGGCGTATACGTACGCCTGGATACGCATACGCTTTGAAATACACGTTGTGTAAATGCATCTGGAATTGGCGCGACCTTGCCGACGAGTACTCACGACGGGGCGGTTCATCAGTCATCGCCCTCTCTCTCTAGTTCTATCAGCACACGATAGTTACGGAAGAAAGACAAACATCCAACAATGAACACCGACTTCGTACGAAAGTATAAAATAAGTTAAGTCAAAACCATTCTACGATTCTACGTTTCTACCTTCTACTCTCGGAGGTGGACTAATGCTTAACCCAGGAGACTACTCGCAGCGTGAGAGGGCACACGAGTAGGAAAATAGAGTGCTGTGGGGTTAAGGGAGGTTCCACCTCAGAAAGTGATCGGTTCAAAATGAAAAAAAGGACAGGCGCCTTGATGATAAAACGCAGAATATTATCGAAACGAACAGATCATTAAGAGAATGAAGGCGCGTTTACATGAAAGGAAATAGGAGTATTGGGCAAATCTTTGATCGAAAGGTCAGAAAGAGATTAAGGTGGTTGGCTTGTCCCCGACGTGAAGGAAGTCTCTCTGTGGTCAGTGAACGAGGTGTTTCGCAAGATCCTCGTGGGAGATTCCGGATGTATCGTATCGTCGGCGGTGGCGCTTAATTCGGTTGAAGGACATCGTCTTTCTCAGCATGGTATCGTGGGACAAAACTGGGCGGTGCCAAAGCCAGATAAGCTTCGTCGCCTCAAGCGTAGAATTCTCGATTGTGATGCGGCGCACCGGGCTTAGGGAACGCCTGCGCCGCTGGTGATCTTCTTGGCTCATCCAGGGCGTACGAGCCCTCGTCCTTCTTGCGCATCCTATACACGATGAACATTACCACCAGGATTGCGCAAAGCAGGCCAACTACCGCTCCACCAATCACCGCTGCAAAAGGTGAATTTTGATTAGTATAGAATATTAAATAAATAAATTAGATAAAAGTTATATAAAGTATATAGAGGATTGCTTAATACTATGCTTACATGTATAAGCTGATGAATTAGGGTCAGAGTGAGTGACGCACTTATATCAATCTAATTAAGTGATTATAATAGCTGTTTATATGAAAATATCTGTGTACAACTTTTACAAATTAACAAATAGTATTTTAATAAGTTCCTCGAATTTTAAGATCAGATACTCCAAACCTATTTATCTATTTTTTCTCCTCTGTTAACTTTCTCAAAATACTATTTTGATTGTCTTTTAGTTTATTTCTTTATGATAGTAAATCTAGTTTTAACTGACTTTAAAGAGCGTCTCAAATCTAAAATATCTTAGGTAGCCGTACAAGCAGGATCAATTCATTATTCAGCGACGTTAAACCATTCAGGATGTTAATTATGTAGGGCATTTATTATGCGTAGCTGCTGATAAGTTAACTTAACCCAGAATTTCGTCGGAATTACTGAGTTCTCCTGAATAAATACCGTTTCCATGGAATGTTGATCCGCGTATTGCCCTTATACTTCGAATTTAATATTGAGGCAACGCGTTAATAAATAACGCGACCCTCTCGCGTAGTTTCGGTTCCGTAAACTCGGATTCTGATTTTCAAAGCGACTGCGTTTAGCGAATTCTATCACGATTAATCGTACAATGGTATATTTAATTATCTCACTTGCGTACAGCAAAAATTTGAGAATGAAAAGTTCTGGATACATAATGCTAGCAATACTGCATGCATTTCTGTACTCATTACTTGGGAAAAATATGGAACTTCCAAGTGAAATATTCCAAAATTGGAAGAAGATTTGAAAGAAGCTTTAATACAAATTTAAACATAATTTTTAATCCAGTAGTTATAAACTAAAATTCTCGCTACTTTATGTAATTAAAAATTATGGAGAAAAGTAATCTAATAGCTAATTAATATTAATATAATATAAGATTTGATATAATTTATAATATTACAATAATGTATTTGTCTCTTATTTCAATTTATACAGTTATTCAAATAAAAACTAAAAAGTAGTTAAAAAGTTGACATTAAAACAATCTCTCAAGTTCTTAACCACGAATAATGTACGCTTATATATTTCATTCTTGGCTGCTTACAATTGTAAAACCAGTTACAAGAGCATGAAAAAGATAGACTTACCTGCCAGCACACCTGGCTGAGCAAAGAAAGAGCTGGCACGGTCCTCGTGTTTCGGATTCATGATGTATACGTCGTGGTGGTCGTCGGTGCTTTCCGAGTCGTCCTCGACATCTAAGGGCTCGATTACATCGACCTCGTTGTCGGGTCGGTTTACGGGCTCGATGATCGTCTGCAATGGTACACCGCTTAATCAGTTTAATCCATTTAATTCGCAGGCTCGCTAGGACGTGTGTTTTCAAACAAATCTAATAACCCGCCTTAACGTCCACGCGTCTCGGTAGGCTTTCCCTTTGCGTAAAATTGGGGGAGAGAAGGTGTATCTTTTCATTGTTAAAAGGATCAATGAATGACAGTGTGGGTTATAGTGAACCGAAAGTGTCGGATAGTATTTCATTACACTAATTATAACAAAATAATACTTAAACCTGCTACGTTCTTTGAGTCATTTTCACTATGTTTCGTTTCTCTATTGTCAACAGATCTTTTCAATTGTAAAAAAAAAAAAATGATATAGAATCGTTATTAATTTCTTGTTTGCATTTTATGCTAAACTCTCCTTTGAGATATTAAAAGTTCTCTTATTCGTTAAAACAAGGGTGAAATTGAAATATAAAAGTCAAAGGATCGCAGTAGATTAAAATACACATTTTCGCATGATGACATATTATGTACTGTTTTGATTAATTACTTTGTATTTTATTTTTTGATAGTGTATGAAATTTCCATTCGTAATATGATAAATTTGATAAGTTTAGAAAGGTGGACGATGTAATAGTTTAGGAGCTATAATAATAAATTAGAAGATTTTTAATCTTGCAAAGACACCTTGATAGGAGTTTGTAATTAATCATAAAAACTTCAGCCATATTCACCTGTTCCTTAGTTTTAACACTTGGTTCGTTGACGGAGTATGGTACTTTTGGTTGGTCTACCGGCCTTTGAAGAGGCGGTTCTATCCTGTTGTTGGTATTAAAATCTGTAAGAGAAAAGAGGAAACAGTAATTCGCTCCTTATATTACCGTTAAATATTCTAAATAAAAGACTATAAGCAATTATCTCGCCAATTAAATAAAAAGCAAGAGCAAGAAATTGCAATCGCATTCAATTATACTGTGGATGTTCATGCATTTTTGCCTTTATTTATTTATCAAAATATATAAATGCAAAAATATGTAAAATATCTAAAGTATTTGCACTCAGTGAGCGAAGTAAATATCTCTAATTTCTTTAAGAAAAATATAAGTTTGCATAAAAATCCGCATTCTAAACGTAACAATGGCAAAAGGAATACCAAATATGTGAGTAATAAAAAAATTGTGCGTCACTTTTTCCCAGTACTTTTGATGGTCAAAGATGATCATTGGAACGATCGAGGGATTTGAATGGGAAAACGATAAAACGTGAAGCGTTTCCAGCTTGGCAATTTTGAAAAATGGAGACAAAAAAGAGGAAACGTTTCTGGGAATCGCGTGACGCGCACCGTTGGTGTGCCGCATACAATGCATTCCGCGAGCCACGCTTTTATTGAAAAATTTTCAGCAAAATAGAAGGACGTGAACTCTTCGGTGCCGTCGATCTCTGGGTGGTGCTTTTCGATCGTCGATGGAATTCGCACGGATGAGTAGCTTTTTGAAAAAAGCCGGGATGATGCTCGATTGTTTCGCAGCCCAAATACTCCAATATCCTTTTTTTTTTTTTATTTGTCTCTAAACTGAAATACTCACAATGAAAGGTAATTAAGTCCTAGTCTGATCTGAAGTTTATCGATATCGAATTTCTCGGAACTTTTGTGCGGAAGAATTAAAAAATAATTGTTTTACTTCTCCATATTTCTCCGAGTGACAATTCTATTAGAACAATTCTATTGGAGTGATTGCACTTCCTATAACACCGAAGTTAATGATTAGTATCACACTTTTTTCAATGAAACTTTGATAGCTATAAAATATCTACATTTTTGTTGTCTTGTTATATCCCGAAGGACGAGAACTAATAAATAGACTACAGATTTTTATGCGTCTATGGAAAATTAAAAGATTCAAATATATAGAATGCATATTATAAAATATATTACATGTAAATAGAAAATATCCAAAGTATAATGTTTAATGAATGGAACAAATTTCTCTTTAGGTCTTATTCTTTTAGTTGTATTAATAAAATTATAAATTTGCGTAAATGTTCACAGTCCATTGACAAGGTAAGAAATAAATAAATAAAAAATATATTCACCGTGATCGTCGTCGCCGTCCTCGTCGTCCGGTCCAAGGCCACTTCCGGATGCTTCAGTATCGCGACCTTCGCTGCCTCCTCGACCAGATCCCTCTAAAAACTCCTGGTCGTCCAAATAGATGTCGTCCGACGTGTTGTACGTCGAACTTCCTCCCGCTGTCCTCTCTTTTTCGTTTTGATCCTTCTGCAATAAAAAGAACAAAATTTTTTACTCCTCTATTTAAGTATCTTCCTGATAATTATAAAAAGAACTTAGAACAATCTTATTTTATTTAATATGCCTCTAGTGTGAAACAATATTTTAAGAGTACATAAATTTCTTGTATAGGCAGAAGATTAAAGGATCACGAAGAAAGTGAAAACGAGAAAAACACAGGGGATCTGTGTTCTATAACGAAACCATATGGACAGGTTCGTTTAGTCTCTTTTCTGGACCCTTTTTATACTTGGACGACACTCTTTGTGCCCCCAAATAGAATCCATTCCTGTAGACAAGCTCGTCTGTTCTGCTATCGAGTTACCCTACGCAACGCCGATGTCGTGAAAACCCGATTTTGTCCTTTATGTGGCTCTTTAACGTAGAACATCGTGTCTAACAAGAAAAAGGTACAAAAAGGAACATGCCATTTTCGTATCCCATGCTTCAACCATTTGTATAACACGGTCTTACAGCGAGTTAAACAAGAGCCACTTAAAACTATTCCATCGGATATTTTTCTATTTTAATGATTTTTTCACATTAAACCCTAATTGGTACCATGAGTGAAAGAACTACAAATTGAAAACTATGATACGAAGTCTCATATTATCTTTATAACGTACCATTCCATAAGTATCTTTTTTCTGTATTTTCCTGTATTTTATATTTGTCTACGAATAAGTGAGCGTTTTGAAGAAAATGTAGCTTTTATTTTATTTCTAATTAAGAAGAAATAATTATAATCTGACAGTGAGTGTGAAAATTCACCCATAGTACCATACACATTAAGTTAACAATGAAACACTTTACCACAACTAAGGCAATAGAATTGTAATATTGAGAATAATTAGAATTGTGATAATATGGTGACAATGGGGTATAATAAGATCGATATAAAATAAAACATTACTGAACGCAATGATTAATAACAGTAAGCCTGCGGAACACGTCAAGGAAACTTCAAGCGGTGGTTTCCGGTTACTCAACGTTAGTGGAATGCTACAGTGACGTGCAATAAAGTCCAGAATAATAAATGATGCGATTATCGTGATTGTTCCCTGATCGATTAGCGATGTGTCTTCCATCTATTCATTTCAAACAAATATTTTTTCAACGAACTGAAATTAATTCACATAATAAGAAATTACATGATAAATTTTTATATTCTACCATTGTCTCCTAGCTAATAATAGAAATGAATTACATGTTCTTATTTATTTCAAAATAATAAGATAATAGATAAATAATAAAATACATTGTGGCTTTAACACCCATTTTTAAAACACTTCTTCGAATTTTTATCAGACTATCCTCTTCCTCGACAATTTCGTATTAAAATATCCCTTTCCAGGTACCAAGTGGTGTAAAAGTAACAAAATCAACAAAAATGGACTTATACCTTTTTCGTGTGGTCTTCGATCATTATCGATGAGCTTTTTCTCCTTTTTCCTTTCTAAGTAATCAAAATAGTGCACTGAATCGTTGTATCTCTTGGAAACAGTGACACAGCGGGGAACAATCGATTGAAAGAGAAACACAAGTGTGCATACAGAATGCAACGTTTACATACACGTTGTACAATCAAATAGGAATGAGCATTCAACCAAACTCTCGAATTCCGAAATTTCGAACGTTACTAAAAGAAACTAATCACAGCCGCTGCGAAGCAGCCATCTGGTACGTCCGTGTTTACATAGACCGGCCGTTCAGCTACTGAAAAGAGCATTTGTTGAATGCAGCGGAGTATTATAACATGTATTCGATCGTACAATAGATTTCCGATCGAAAAGTTATTCGTTTATTGGTCATTTTAATTCGTTTTTATTTTATTACAATCGACAATTTTGTTATTATAGAAATTGACAATTATTTGATCGATGATATAATCTATATTAGCTTCTATTACTTTCTTATTTTTTTCTATTACCTTCATTATTTTCTAAAATAAATATTTATATCCCACTTATCGTAGAAAGCATATTTGAACGTTAAGAGATTATACAATTGTACGATTATGTAAATAGTAGATAACAGAGAGCGAAATTGTGCAATGACACAAAGTATAAAAACTTTCGGTTTCAGTGTTTGCGAATAATTTCAATTTTATAGCGACCACCTTTTTACTTTCTTAACTGAAAATATCGTGGATTTCGCCACAGTTGTGACATACCGATCTGGTAGCGTTGACTGAAAGAAGGGGAAACATGAAATTCCTCGAAGATTTAATTCCGAAGTGTGTAATAATCGTGCAGACTGTTTTGACGGCGGAAGGTAAGCAAAATAAATGATGGAAAAGAGAAACTGTTATAAACAAGATTATATGCTGCTTGAGAATGTGAACATTAAAAAGATTATTAGGTGGATACGTATAATATGTAATCATTTTAAAGATATTCATCTTAACTTTACTTTCGAACGATCACTGCTTTATTAAATTTTGAATTATTCTATATTACGTAGAATTAAATCGAGCATTCACAATGCAGAAATACCCGGGATTACTATATGAATAATATAAAATTGAAATCGATAACGAAATATATTAGTCCTTTTCATGACTGATTTCATGCATAGGTACGATTTTAAAGCGACAATCCAGCGAATGGATCAAACTGCTCTCTTATATAATAATTCACTAATTAACAATATTAATGAATTCTGAAATTACAATGTGCAAGTCATAGACGATTTTATACTTTTACATCAAATAGAATGTGTAGCTTGTAATTTGTAAAAATTACTTGTAAAATTTTATTCGTTTCTTTTACTACCATTTGTTATTACCAGATATTATACAAGTGAATTTAGTAGTATTGGTAACTAGTAGCTTGTAAAATTTCATTAATATTCCACTTCAGCATTTAATAACATTAAATCCAAATATGTAAGAGGGCGTTATGACGGTAGAATCTACTGAAAGAATTTTCTAGTATAACCTTGGACCACAATTTCTATACACTAACCTGAGATTATTTTACAGAATCTGAAACCAACCAATCGAAATATTTGTCTACCATTATATCAATCACAGTATCACCAAGTATCGGCACTTATTGTTAGGGTTGCACAAAGTTGCAAGAGCAACGTCCGCGACCGATGCACCGGGTGCAGGCGATTGTGCGTACGGATACATCGGCGAGCGTGTCCCTCGCAGCTGATCGATAACACGAAATTCTTCCTCGACCTGGGTCAGCTACTCACCACGTCAAAACAATTATACGTAACCGTTCGGTTTAGCCTGTTTCTGGGGGACACGGTTGATTTTCGATGTGTTTCGCTGGCGATATTTCACGTAGTCTGGCCTCACGCACAAATCCGCTTTCTCTTCCACTTTTTTCGCCCGCTGTCTGCGGAAGAAACGCAAGAATTGCGCGGGCGCGCGATGTTATCGACCTCTTTCGCGCATTCTACCGCATTACGCGTTTTTTTTTTACTTTCTATTTCCTTTATTTTTTCCCCTCGTTTATCTTATTGTCGCGGCTGGAAAAGCGGACAATGCGGCTACGTTTGCATGCAAATGACTAAAGGCTAAGGTCAAGGCTCTCGAGATCCACTTGTCCCGCCTTTTTTTTACGCGATTTTCGCGGCAAACGTAATTAATAAGTTTTGATGAGGACCGATCTTAGTCGGAATCAACAAAGGACTACAAGGTTACTTACGAGACTGTAGATGGAGGTGATGACGAGTGTCCTCGAATTTAACGTTGGGAATCGAGCAGTTTTTGGTAGATAAGACACGATACGCTTTTGAGGCAAGTGGTGACTGCACTGACGTAGTACGGGCTCGGGCCTGTAGGCGGCACTGCTCCAGGCTACGCTATATGGCTCCTTTACACGTATAAAACGGGAGGACCTGGCCAGGACCGTACCACCAGATACCCTACTTTTATTCGAATTTTTTACCCCGCCTGATGGTCAATACGGTAGTGCCATCTTAACTGGTCCTTGCTAACCCCTTCGGTTTTTGGAAGTAATTTAGTAAAGCGACTCTTTAGTGTCGGATATTACATAAACCAAACAAATTTGTCAGATACCTGTATCTCATTTGAGAAGTAATACACAAGGAAGATATTAGAAATTTCCTAAAACCTTTCTTGATAACTAGGTAACGTGATCAATTAACCTGACTCTACTCTAGTTCATACTTAATTATGAGTACAAAATTGTTTAAAGAATCAATCATTTGGAATATACTAAGAATATACTCTATATCTTCTATATTACATTTTATTTCCAACCGTTAATGCATTTTTATTTTTTACCTCCTTTTTATCTCTTTGTGCAGACTCAGACGCCGAAGGATTCTCAAAGTCGATACATGATAGAGTTCGAGATATACGGTAAGTCGCACGATAAGGTGATCCGTTCGATATTCGTTCGTTGTAGGACTGTAGGATATTGAAATCCACCTGTTCGGTCAGAGCGCGCAACTACACGAACTCTACGTATCTACATGTGTCGCGCTCCCACAGCCAGAACCGCGTATTTGAATAAAATCGGAATCTTTCATATTGAATCCGCATTCGTGGATCTTAACTCGTCATGTGCAGTTTCCTTAGAGATCCGTTCGTATATAGTAGTATATATACATTGCTCGGCGTCAGTCACGCTCTCACGTCTGCTTTGTTTTACATAGTTTACATACGGAGAAGATAACACCGGATGTTTGAAAGACGACAAGGCGATGAATTTCCGGCGAGACAGATACCGTACAACGAAATAAATCAAACATCCTACAACTATGCAATTTCTACGTTGGTAGGAGTGAGGGGGACCAAGTAATCGAATATATACGAAAAACATAACCTCCACCTTCAATTTTTCGAAGTGGAAGCAGAATCAATTATTGTTCGAGCACAGAAAAATTGCTGGTCGATCAAGTCAGTCAACAGATGTAGGTGAATGGAAACTCAAATTGCGACCATTATTTCCCAATAATCGATGTGTCGAAAGCAAAACACGCGGGCTTTATGCGCAAAGCATGAA